TACAATTTGTTAATAGTTACACAAGGTAAAAATGTAAATTGTGACATCAAAAACAGCATAGAGGAAGAGTAAAAATGCAGAGTTTTAGTATGCATTCAACTTTAAGTTTTTTATCAGTTTTAAATATACTGTGTGTCTATAAGGTATTTTAAGCCTCATGGTTAACACAAAGCCAAGAATCTACATTAGATGTGAAAAAGATAAAAGGAAAGGAATCTAAATATACCACTACAGAAAATTATCAAATCACAAAGGAAGAGAGCAAGAAGAAAGGAATAAAGGAAAATATAAAACAATTTACAGAAATTAGCCAGGTAACAATTAGACAAATCACAATAAGTTCACACATATCCATAATTACTTTAAATGTACATGGTATAAATCCTTCAATGAAAAGACATAGAGTGGCTCAATGGATTAAAACAAAAGAAAACAAACAAGACCCAACTACATGCTGCTTATAACAGACTCATGTCAACTTTAGGGACATACACAGACTGAACATGAAGGGATAGGAAAAGCTATTCCATGCAGATGGAAACAAACAAAAAAAGCAGTAGCTATACTTAGATAAAACAGACTTCTATCCCAAGTGTAAAAAAGCAAAAGATCATTATATAGTATTAACGATCAACCCAATAACAACACATAACAGATGTAAATACTTATGCACCCAACATAGAAGTACGATATATATAGGCTATAAATATATCCTATAATATATGGGATAAATTTAATAGACTTGAAGGAAGAAATGGAAAGCAATACAGTAACACTAGGGGACTTCAATGTCCCCATTTTATGTAATGGATAGATTTGATAGAAAATCAATCACAGAATATGGAGCTGAGGTGATGCATGAGACTAGATGAATTTAAACAGACATTTACAGAACATTCCATCCAACAGCAGCAGAATATATATTCTTCTCAAGCACACATGAATATTCTACAGGGTAGGTCATATATGTTAGACCAAAAAGCAAGTCTTAAAATTTTTAAGATTGAAATTCTTGTATCAAGCATCTTTTCTTATCACAATGTGAAACTAACATTCAATTACAAGAAGAAAATTGGATGGAACTGGAGAGTGTGATGCTAAGTGAAATAAGCCATACAGAGAAAGACAGATACCATATGGTTTCACTCTTAGGTGGATCCTGAGAAACTTAACAGAAACCCATGGGGGAGGGGAAGAAAAAAAAAAAAAAAGAGGTTAGAGTGGGAGAGAGCCAAAGCATAAGAGACTGTTAAAAACTGAGAACAAACTGACGGTTGATGGGGGGTGGGAGGGAGGGGAGGGTGGGTGATGGGTATTGAGGAGGGCACCTTTTGGGATGAGCACTAGGTGTTGTATGGAAACCAATTTGCCAATAAATTTCATATATTTAAAAAAAAAAAAGAAAACTGGAAAACAGATGGAAATAAGGCAGCACACTACTGAACAACCAATGGATCAAAGAAGATATCAAGAGAAATGAAAGTACCTTGAGACAAATTAAAGCATAAAGAAAGCATACCAAAACTTATGGGATGCATTCTAAGAAGAAAGTTCATTATCAGTAACTGCCTGCACCAAGAAACAATAAAGATCTCAAACAACCTAAATTTATACCTCAAGGAACCAGAAAAAAATAAGCCTAAAGTTAGTAGAAGGAAGGAAACAAAGATCAGAGCAGAAATAAATGAGACAAAAATACAAAAGATCAATGAAACTAAGGTTTTTTTTTTTTTAAGGATTAACAAAACTTTAGCTAGACTTAAAAAAAAAAAAAGACACAAAAAAGTTACATTAGAAAATCAAAGAGAAGCCATTCCAACTGATACCATGTAAATATAAAGGATCATAACAGAATATAATAATGATAGGCCAAAAAAACTGTAGAATTTAGCAAGAGTGGGTAAATTGCCAGGACTATACAATCTAAATATGCAATCATAAAGAAACAAAATATCTGAATAGATTAAGCATTACTAAGGAGATTGAATCAGTAATCAAACATCTTCCCAAAAAGAAAAGCCCAGGACTAGGTGGTTTTACTGGTGAATTCTACAGAACATTTAAAGAGGAATTAAAACTAATCCTTCTCAAAGTCTTCCAAAACACAGTAGTGGAAAAAACACTCATTTTGTGAGGCTAGCATTATTCTGATGGCAAAAGCAGAAAATTACATTACAAGAAAATACAATTACAGGCCAGTATCTCTGATGAACATAGATGCAAAAGTCTTCGATAAAATATTAGCAAACCAAATTCAACAATACATTAAAAAGATCATATACCATGACCAGGGATGCAAGGATGGTTCAACATTGACAAATAACTCAATGTGATACTTACCTTTAAGAAAATGAAGAATACGAAGAAAAAGAAAAAGAAAAAGAAAATAAGAAAATGAAGAATACAAACCAGTCATCTGAATAGATGCAGAAAAACTATTTGACAAAATTCAATATTCATTCATAATAAAAACTCAACAAAGTAGGTATAGAGGGAACATACCTCCACATAAGAAAGCCATTCATGACAAGCCCACAGCTAACATCACACTCACTGGTAAAAAGCTGAAAGTTTTCCCTCTAAGATCAGGAGCAAGACAAGGGTGTTCACTCTCACTATCCTATTCAACATACTATTAAAAGTGCTAGCTAGAGCAATCAGGCAAGAAAAAGAAATGAAAGGTTTCAGAATTGGGAAGAAGTAAAATGGTCTCTATTTACAGAAACATGATTTTATTTAAAAATACTAAAGACTCAACAAAAAAATTGTTGTATGAGTGAATTCAGTAAAATTACAGGATACAAAACAAAATTAACTTACAAAATCAGTAGCATTTCTATACAGTTAACACCAAATTTTCTGAAAAAATAAGTAGATCCCATTTGAAATGGCACCAAAAACAAAACACTTAGGAACATTAACTAAGAAACATTAACTAACTTAGGAACATTAACTAACATTATCTACTCTTAAAACTACAAAATACTGAGGACAGAAACTGAAGATACAAATAGAAAGGTATCCTTTGTGGACTGAAGAATTAGTATTGTTAAAAGTGTCAATACTACTAAAAGGCATCTAAAGATTCAGTGCAATTCCTATTAAAATTCCAATGGTATCTTTAGCATTGTAGGATACCACTGTAGGAGTACTGTAGCAGAAAAAGCACTCCTACAATTTATATGGAACCACAAAAGACCCCAAATAGCCTCCCCCACAAAAAATCCTAAGAACAAAACATTAGGCAACACATTCCCTTATTTCAAGCTAGATTATAAAACTATAATCAGCACAACAGCATGGTACTGATATAAAAACAAATACATCAAGACAAATATAGAATCAAGATCCCCAAAATAAACCTAAGTATATATGGCCAACTAGTATTTGCCAAGGGAGCCAAAAACACTCAATGGAGAGGGGTCTCTTCAATAAAGAGACTGTTATAATTGTTATATCATGACAATGATAAGTGCAATTACATCAACCTAAAAAGCTTCATCAAAAGCAGCCATCAACCAAACAAAAAGGCAACTTATGGAATGGGAGAAAATATATGCAAATCATATATCTGATAAGGGGGTAATATCCAAAATATATAAAGAATTCCTACTCAACAGCAAAAAACAATCCAATCTAAAAAACAAGCAGAGGAGCTGAATAGACCTTTTTTCAAAGAATATATACAAATGGCCAACAAGTACATGAAAAGGTGGTCAACATCAATAACCTTCCATGAGGATCTAGCAATAGTACATTTATTCTTTTTATTTTGATGGGTGGGGGGGGCAGCAGGAAACAGAGAGGGAGAAAGAATTCTAAGCAGGCTCTGCACCAGCAGTACTGAGCCCAATACAGAGCTTGAACCCACGAACCATGAGATGATGACCTGAACCAAAACCAAGAGTTGGACACTTAACCGACTGAGCCACCCAGGCACCCCAAGACTATTACAATTCTAATGTACAAGGTTGTCTTTATACAAAATTTGAAAAACAGACTTTTTTCTTACCATCTCCCTTTAACATGGAGACAATCTTATCACTTACACTTTGCAGGTAGGAAAACTAGGACTCTAAGAAGCTCAAAACAGAGGTACACCCAGCTCAGTAAGATCACCAAGTAAGTCTTCCCATTATACAAGCTTGAAGAAGTCTTTCATATTGTCTTTTCTAGTACTAGAATGATATGTGGTGACATCTTCATCACGGAAATCCATTTCATTTGGGTCACTTCAGCTCAAGGAAGGCTATGGTATAGTGGGGGGGGGGGGGAGTATGCTCTGATACGTGTATGATCTTCCAATCTATTCAGCAAGGTGCAGAACAGTGTATATATTATGCTATCATTTTTGTAGGAAATTACTGAAAATAATATGCATAAAAATTTTAATAGGAAATCTCCAGAAAGACTCATAAGAAAGAAGGATCATAGTTGTTTTTTTTTTTTTTTTTTTTTTTTTTTTTGAGGGGAACCAAGTAGCTAGACCAGTCATAGAAGGGAGACTTTAATTTCTTATCCTTTTATAGTTTTAGCATTTTGAATTTTTTTTTTTCAACGTTTTTTATTTATTTTTGGGACAGAGAGAGACAGAGCATGAACGGGGGAGGGGCAGAGAGAGAGGGAGACACAGAATTGGAAACAGGCTCCAGGCTCCGAGCCATCAGCCCAGAGCCCGACGCGGGGCTCGAACTCACGGACCGCGAGATCGTGACCTGGCTGAAGTCGGACGCTTAACCGACTGCGCCACCCAGGCGCCCCAGTTTTAGCATTTTGAATTGTGACTATGTTAAGTATTCAATAAGTAAACAACCACATTTAAAGATGAAAAAATTACCATAAGACATGAGATGACAAAGACTGGAAACTGAATAATACTGTCACACACAAAAGAAATGGGAATTCTGTGCATTTTATTCAACAAATCTAGGGCCTAAAACATTTGTAATTTAAATCTCTTCTATGTACTTTATGTATTTTTCCTAGAGGAAAAGGACATAAATGCTTGATGGAAATGTTTTCCTGTGACTTCTTCATAAAATCCTCAGTTATCTTCTCCTCCTTACATTAGGATTGTATCTGCAAAGAAAAAAATAAAGTTAAAGCATTAGATAAATGATGGCATTTCTTTCACTTTTAAAGTTAAAGAGCTTTCAAAATATAGTTACACTCTGGCAAACAATGAGCATGCCAATTTTATCCTTAGGATCATACATTAAGCACTGATATTTTTACTTTCTTTTGTCCTTTTGATGTTGGTTAGATGAATATTTGGTAAAAATAAAACATCATCAAAAATAACAAGAAGTCCTGTAAAAGCATTAAAGTAATTAATGAAAGCAGTTCAAAACTAAATCTGTTTCCGCCTTTCCCAGTATGGCTTCAGACTCCTCCAACTCCCAACTAAAGTATAACATCTGCATAAGAGAGTATAAGGAGCCAAAAGTAAGACTTATTTATGAAATTTTCTCCTACAGTATTTCAACAAATTTAGCTGGCAACCATATATTCTCCTTTAACTACTTAAAAATCAGCACCATATGTCACCATTTTCACCAATGATATACACTGTTAATAATAAAATTAAAGAATCAAATTGGCTGCAAAACAAACTCTGAGACACAGTACTTCTCGGTTCTGCCTTTAAGTAAACTTGGGAAAATGTTATTCTCCCCTAGCCAGTATCTACCTAGCAGTAGGAAAAGTAATTTTATTTTATACTATTTGTGAGTATTTGAGAGCTAATTATTATAAGGTTTCCGGCCTGCAGGAATGCTGAAAATGTGTTAAGTCAGAATTAAATTATAATCACCCATTATAAAGCCTCTCAACCTCCCACAAAAACCTGATTTGAAACTCTAATCCAGCCTCTTGTTTTTATGCTTGTGCCAACTAAAACTAAACAAATGCTCTGGTATTTTGTCTTAACTCAAAACCCATTCATTCATAATTCTACTCAGAGCTGAAAATCTCACAAATGTATCCAGCCAAATTCACCCAGTGTGGGACCCTTCTTTTGCATGAATGCCCCCATACAAATTTTAAATATCATGTGATACAGGTTCAACTGAATCAACCCCAAACCTCAAAGACATATCTAGCAAACCTAATTAAGAGGTGCTCAAAGTAAAAATACATACATTAAAAACAAAACATTATTTAGGTGAAGGGACTAAACGTCTATTTCTAAAGTCAGAAGAAATGAATATTTAATCTCTATGAGTAAAATGGTATTTTATATACATCTCAAAGATTCAAGAGAAAACAAATTAAACTTTACCTAAAGAGATCATCAGCAAGTGACTCTTCTTTTGCATGTTGATTTTGAACCTGTCAAAATTGACACAATATCACACATTTGTTTAACGACGAATGTATGGTTCATCAACTGCTACATACTGGGTAGTCAGTTATCTTTGAGATTTCAACATCCATAAGGTCACCAGGTTTACGAGTTCTTGCCTCTACCAGTATCTCCCCCATTCACCAGATCCTCTCCATTTTCACTTTCTGCCAAAAATTCTGCAAATGTTCTCTAATTAAACAGCATTCTCCAGTTAATCCCTTCCCAAAGGCAACCGATATAAGTATATATTGCTAGCTTATTGAGTTTTTAAATATTTTTTTCCAACAAAACACTTTAAAAAAATTAAGTGTTTTGAGGTCACAGGACTACTGAAGGGGCTGAGATGGCAAAATCTACCCCCATCTTCAACCAGAGCAGCCTCCAGCTGCAATGGTTTTTTTCCCCAAGGTCCCAAGTCAGGCTCTGAGGCTGATGCTTAGTTACTTCACTGACAAAAGTATTTTCAACATAAACTTGCCAAACTCCTAATGCGCCGCTGAGAGGTAGGAACAGAAAAACTCTGTGCTGGGTCCCTCTTTCTAAAGTGTAGCTATGATCCTACCATGTGCCATTCAAAACCCTTCAGTGACTTCTTCCACCTACCAAAGGAAACACAAACTCTTGAGTGTGACCCTTAAAATGGGAAAAGACCTTCATAATCTGGCTCCATTCTACATTCTCAGTCATTTCTCACCTCCCTCTTCATAAACCCTGTATGTCTGTTAAAACTCAATCACAAAACAACCAACCAACCAGACTCACCTCCCAACAAATATCTCATCCCTCTCTGCTTTTGTTCATATTTTTCTCTCTGCCCAGAAGATTACCTCTTTTCTTTCCTCTTCCCATATCTGACAATCTTTCAGTGTGCATTCATTCAATAATAATTTAGGGCCTCCTATGTGCCCAGGAACATGTTCACCTCTTTACCAATGATTATCCAATCCTCTTCATTTAAAAATAACATCCGCTATGAAGAACCCCCATAAAACTTCAGCTCTACAACTCAGATTTGTCGTATCAATTTCCACCCTGTATCATATCTTCCCTAAAAGACCAGAAGTTCCTTGAATGTACATACTGTTTATTTTTATGTTAATAACTTACATTTGTGTATTTCCAGACACTATCTTAAAAGTCTTTATTAAAAAAATCTCATTTAATCTTCATATAACTTCATTACTACTATTAGACTATTATCCTAGTTTTAACCAATAAGGGAACAAAGAGTTAGATTAAGTAACTTAAGGTTGTCGTATGAAGAACAGGATTTGACCAGGTCTTCGTAAGTAAGGAGCACCACCAGGTCTTAACAGGCTATTACAGAGCTTCTGAATCTGTGGAAAGGGCCTAGATGAAGGACTTGCAGGGATTCTTCCAGAATGGTTTTCTATTCATACAGGGAAATATCAAAATGAAATTACATCTTTCCACATTTTCTAATAGGTATAGCAGCACATAAATGGGAAGATAATGATTTTTATCAAGGAGCTGTCAAAAAAAGTGGCTGGTATCATTATCATAATTATCCTTAAAGGCTTCCCAGCAGGGGATGCTAATTTTAAACTTATAATAAAGAACAATTGTAAAGAAAAATCAGCTTTATTTTATGTGTCTTAGTAGAAACATTAAGTAAAATAGTATTAAGAAATAGAAATCCTCATATTACTGACATCTTTTTAAAGGTTTGGGAGAATTACATCTCCAGTCTTTCAAAATTCCAATCAGGTTGGATAATGTCTCAAAGAATTATTATGTTTAATGCACAGAATGAAAATATCCTAAACTGAAGGAAACTTCAGGAACAGATTCAGTGATTATGAAAACAAAGACTGGTCTACAGCAGAAGCACCAAAGGAAGAACTGACAAAGAATGAAAGAAAGGCAAAAGATACTTAAGAACAGCGGCTGGGACCAGCCTGGGGAAGTATGATGTCAAAGCAGTAACATACTTCTATACAGACAGTGTAGTTGCACAACAAAGTCAACTCTATTATCTTAAAGAGTGAATCCAACCTAGTTCACCTAAAATTGTTCTAGCAAAGAGAGATTTGGTGGAATAAATCTGGAACACAGACTCTACTAATTCTAATCAAATAAACAAAAGACCGAAAAAAGTCAGCAGCTACACTGTCATTCTCTCAACCCTCCCCGTCCAAGAAGAGTAAAACCTTACAGCCATAATAATCAAGGAGCCACAGGCTTGAAAAAAGTGGCCTGCAAAGAACCAAAAGATTGATGCAGATGTTTCTAACACTGCCCCAGCACATGAAACAATGCCACAGAACTAAAACCAACCTGAGAATGCTTACCAATACTCCAATTTTGGGAAAAAGCAGCCTGAGCAGGCAAAAGAAAACACCGCTGGTGGGCTGCTGGGAAGGGACAAATGGCACGGGGAAGTGAGTGGGACTAACACTGACCAGGCACAGGCGCCACACATCCCTGACAAATTAGGTAAACAACCTAAAATGGCAGGTGATTGTCTTCTGGGAGAAGATACGCTCCCTGGTACACATTTAATTCCAACCCCAGGAAAGCGATGCACAGGTCCAGCTGAGCCTTTCCTTTCCTGGATTCAAAGTCTCCAGGCAACAGAAACCAGATGCGACATGCACTACAGCCCCGAGCACACTGCCACAATGACGGTACAGAGGCACGAGGGTCATTCCGTTCTCCACCAGAAAGCTAAGAGCTCGGGTAAGAGTAATTTCAACTACATTCACTTTTTGCCTCACAAACTGTCTTTAGATTGTAATCCCTGCATAAAATAGCACAGGATGCTTCGCAAAGCAAACAGTATCTGGACAGGGTATTGTACTCCAAACAGCTGCCAAGATCATAGAAAACCAAAAACTACTCCACATACTAAAGGGGAAACAAAGGACAGCAACTGGAACAGAACATGCAAAATAAATGAAGAACTTAGTCTGCAAGAAATAACAATCCAAGGATCAAAAAATAAAGTTAGTAAGAACATGAAAGCAATAAAAGGAGAACCAAAAAGTTAGATGACAAAACACAATGACGATGAGAAGGGAACAAATGCTAAAACACTGAGACCTATTAATAACACCATTTCAGAATCAAATAAATTAGAAATAGCTAACACTGACTCTTTCCATGGTTATAAATGCTTTATAAATAGCATCTGACTTAATTCTCACAAAAATTCTGTGAAACGGAGGTACTATTATTATTCCCATTCTACACAGGAAGAAACACAAGCATAAAGTAATCAAGTAATCCACCCAGGGTCATATAGCTGACGAAGAATAACACAGACACAACTGAAATTTGAATTTTTGACACAGTGAAAGAGCTTAAGAAAACCACAGGGAGTGCAGAAGAAATGGGTATAGAGAGTAAAGGTGATCTAATAAAAGGATGGTTACATCTTAAATATACAGAACCCAGCAAATAGAAAAATGCTTTCAAAGATGTAACAGAAGGGTTCCTTGAAATAAAAAGAAATGCATCTGCAGATCAAAATAACATACTGTATTTTAGGGAAAACAAATGGAGAACTGGGAAACACTGAGACACATTCTCACTGCTTCTGACTTGCAAGTGCAAATCACCTTTAAAAGGGAGGTAAGAAAGGACTGTCAGAAGATGGGCGGGGGCAGGGAGAATGGAGGAAGTACAATCTCCTCACTGTTGACAGCAGGGAGCCAAAAACCATCGAAAATCAAATAGGCAGTTTGAAACAAATACTGATTCTAATCTGATAGTGGTTTTTTTTTCGTATCTATCACCCCTTGGTCTTAGATGCATCTCAGAAAACAAAATATCTTGAGAAGAAACACTTGCACAAATTCAGCAATGCTTTCAGCTTTACTTTCTTCTATCGATCCTCCCCTTCTCTTGCACTCTGTCCTAGCTATTACTCCTCCTCAATAAAGAGACGTCTGGAATAGTTTACTGAATTTACATGGGTTATTTCTGGACTTCAGGATTGTAACCTCATCATTCTTTTGGGCAGCACCATAATTCTTTGAAATGCACATTTTAAATAGTAAGGCCATTTAGTCTTTCAAAAAAGAAAGGAGGAAAGATGTCATTTTCATTCTTCCATTTTTTGACACTACATATCCTAAGTGACCCTGAACAACCTCCATTTTTTAGTGACCTTTGTAACAACTTTTTAATTAAAAAGCATTTTTAAAAACAAATTGCTAGAGACTACATTAAACCCACAATGAAGAAGAATAAAAACCCTGAGAAGTTAACAACACAGCCAGCTTTTGCCCTCCTCTGTGGGTATCCACAAACCATAAAAAAAACTGGGCTCTGCCTTTGATGTCTGCAATGGGTGATGAGTGATATGAGAGAAAATCAAAGATGAGGGATCTAAGAAAAGACTCCAGCATTTAAGGGAGAAAGAGGAATAAAGTCTACAACACAAAAGAAGGTAAGAAAGAAACTTGTCTGCCTTGACCCTAGCACAGGGTGAAGGAAAGAAAAAAACTATCAAGTTTATAATGACAAGCTGGCCTTCACTCAGGTTTCTGAGTACTTTAGGTGATCCTAGGAATTAACTACCTAGGTAATCCAAGAAAATCACCAGCTGAGGCTAAAGTGGTTTCCTAGTAGTAGAACAAGACTGGCAGACACAACATATCTTTTCTGGAAGATTATAACTCAAGGAATTCCCACAGATCAAACTACAAGGAAAATGAGTGGTTCACATAAAAAGATCACAAAATATGTACTTGGAAACAAGGCTCCATAGGAGATGATTAGCACAAACATAAATAGCAACAAGCATTTTAGGCACAGAAAACAAAAGAAGAGCTTACAAATATCAGCAGGGAACAAGATTTAGAAATGAATGAAACAGACATCCAAAATTGAAAAAATACAATAGGCTAAGTGAAAACTTAATGAATGGGTGGGAATACCAACTAGACAGAGTGGAAGGGAAAAGTACCAAACTGGAAGACAATGTGGAGAAGTTACCAAGAAATAAATTACAGAGAAAAAAAAAAAAGATAAAATATATATAAAATAAGATAAAGAAAGGGATATAAAATTGTAGAGTTCAGGGAAGAGTTATTATCCTCACCCCTCAATTACCAAGTGGCCCTACTTCAAATAGCCTGCTGAGACAACCTATCTGGAGCCCACCTTTGGGTTCCAGGAGGACTGGACAATCAGGCAATACAAAGACTAAGAAGAAAACATTCTAACCCTAGAGGAGGCCTTTGATTATCTCTCAATTCAATAGTCCTATGTTTCTGAAATCTTAACTTCCATGCAGTAACTTCCTCTATGGCAGAAGTTGTCCACTTTACTTAATTTTATTAAATTCTCCAGTTAAAAAAAAGTCAGGGGTTGAAAGAATTATGAATCAGGTAGATGGTCTTTTTACATAATATCCACTAGGACTCAAAACACCTAGGAAGAAAGTAAAAAAAAAGAGAAGCATAGGGGACCCTGGGGGGGCTCAGTCGGTTGAGCGTCTGACTCTTTATTTCAGCTCAGGTCATGATCTCACAGTTCGTGAGATCGAGCCCCATGGGACTCTGCAATGACAGCATAGAACCTGCTTGGCATTCTTTCTCTCCCTCTCTCTCCGCCCCTCTCCCACCCCCATGCACACGTGCTCTCTTAAAAAATTTGAAAGAAAAGAGAAGCTTATTTTTATAATCTTTCCTGTGAGTTCTCATTATAGCAGTATATAAATATATACAGCTGTTATGTGTAAACAGTGAGTTCTTGAAAAATCACATTCTAACATGGAGAGCTGTAAAGCAGTTTATATTTTCCCAAAAGAGCAATGTCATAACTGAGATTTGGTTTCCTGAGACTTAGGCAACATATTAGTTGTAGATATGATCGAAGACATGCCATAAGGCAAGTATGCGAAATTATAAAACTTTAAAGCAATTTCAAGTATCAAAATTATGCTGCTGATCCTAGTTTAGGGTTTTGAACATGAATTGATTATATTAAGTACCCTACTGTAAAGTGATAGGAAGACACACTCTGACATAATATGTACTTGATCAGAAATCTGTATGTTTGAACATATAAATAAAAATGAAATGAAAAATGATTGGGATTTGCTTTAAAATATTCCAGAAAGAAAAATACTCCAGAAAGAAAAAAAAGTTGAGAAAGGCAACAGATGAAGCAAGATGTGCAAATCCTGATATTTGTTGAACCTGTGTTTGAGGTTTGTTTCATTCCTCTCTTTGTGTATGTTTGAAAACTTTTCATAATTAAAAGTTTAAGAATATGAACTAAATGTAAATAATTACTACTTAATAATCAACCAACATTATTTAATGATTTCTCTTACCTTCTTAAAACTTAGACTCTGGGGAAAAATGAGATGGATCAGTAACAACTGCCTATGGGAGGAGGCATTAAGGCAAGGTTCTCACAGCAAACAGTTGTCAATAGTATAACTGGCTTGAGATTCCCCCACTTCACCATCGAGATGTTATGTTCATGTATCATTGAACCAAAGTGTGAAAGTGTAACTAGAGAGAATGAAGTTGGACTCTAACCTTACACCCCTTATGAAAATTAACTCAAAATCAAAGATCTAAATATAAGGGCTAAACTATAATACTCTTGGAAGAAAAAAGGGAAAAAATCCTGACATTTGATTTGGGAACGATTTCTTGGATATAATACCAAAAGCACAGGTAAGCAACAACAAAACGGATAAACTGAACTACATCAAAATTTAAAATTTCTGTGCATCAAAATACAAAATCAACAGAGTGAAAAGGCAACCCAGAGAAAGGGAAAATACCTGCAAATCATATATGTGATAATAGGGACTAATATCCAAAATACACAAAGAACACCCATAATTCAAAAACAACAAAAGATAAACAATCTGACAATCAGAAGAGATTTTTGAATACATATTTCTCCAAACAAGATACACAAATGGCCAATAAGCATATGAGAAGATGCTCAACATCATTAATCATTAGGAAAGTGCAAATCAAAACCACATTGAGATTCACACCAGTTAAATGTACATTATCAAAAAAAAAAAACTAAATGAAGTGCTAGAGAGGATGTGGAGAAACTGGACCCTTGCACATATTAGTGGGAATGCAAAATGGTGAAGTTGCTATGGAAAAATTATGGCAATTCCTTAAAAAATTAATATACAAGAAAAAAGAGACACAATAGAAAAACAGGAACAAGGTAATACTAAAATAAGGACTGAGAAATTCTCAGAACTGCTGAAAGATAATTCCAGATTTGGAAAGCCCAGTTCATTCACATACTATATAACTGATATTACTTGTAATATCCCCCGTATGACTGTACAACCATCTTTTAACAGTTATCTTTTAGTATTCTTTTATTATTTGCTGGTTAAATGTCTTTTCTCTCCTCTACATTAGGATGTAAACTTAACTCATTTGTCTGGGTCCCATCTTTTTTAACTAATAAATCTAAAAGTCTCTAAAGAAGCATTATGTAAAGATAGAAATTAACCTTAATGCTCTGTAACTCAGGAATTTTCCTTAATGAATGACCTTAGGCCAATTATCTTAAGTTTGGTTTTACGAAGGATGTGCTCTAAAGAAACCACAAGGGACCAGAATGTAAACCAAGCAAGTTACTAGGCCTCACTCCCTACTAACCTCCATTTCCTGCTTTAACCACTCGTCTAATTCTGTATTCTTCCGAGCATGATGAGCTATTAGATCTGATCCTCCAATGATGTGTGGAAGTTTTCCTGCTCCAGGAAATATGACCTGTTAAAAAAAAGTAAAAGTAGTAAGATTAGGGGCAACTGGGTGGCTCAGTCAGTTAAGCGTCCAACTCTTGATTTTGGCTTGGATCATGATCTCACAGCTATGAGACTGAGCCCTGTGTCGAGCTCAGTGTGAAGCTTCGAGCCTCAGGATTCTCTATCTCTCCCTTGCTCTTTGCCTCTCCCCCATTGACCCCCCCCCCTTCAAAATAAACTTCAAAAAAATTTTTTTAAAAAATAAAATTTTTCCAAACTGCTTTCCAGAAGTTTGTACTACTTTATAGCTCTTGGCCATCCCTGGGCCAACACGGATTGCTTTATCTTTGGTAACTTCATTAATATAAAATATGTATCAGGGGTGCCTGGGTGGCTCAGTTGGTTAAGTGTTTGACTCTGTCATTTCAGTTCAGGTCATGATCTCACAGTTTGTGGGTTTGAGCCCTGCGTTGGCTCTGCATTAATGGCACGGAGCCTGCTTGGGATTCTTTCTCTCTCTACCTCTTCGTTTGCGTGCTCTCTCTTAAAATAAATAAATAAACTTAAAAAAAAAAAGTATGTCTTTTGAATTTTGATTCAACAATGAGACTTGGTAACATGACACTGAACATGAAATAACCATTCGGTTAAGAATAACCCTGTGGTATTCATGTGCTACACCTGAGGGATGGAAAAGAATTAAGTGGGTGCCATCTAATGGGAGGTATTTCCATCTTCCACTCTAAGTAGAAGAAAGGGGAGTTCAGAACCTTTTACATATTGTCATAGTAAGCAAAAAATTAACAAATGTTAATAGTAGCTCACATTAGAGAGAAAAAGCTACAATACCTCATAGTCACAGCAAGAATCAAACAGATCATATTCTAGTGAAAGGCAGTCTTCCACAGAAACCACTAAAAAAATTAACTGTATTCTGATTAATTGCTTAAGCAAAAGGTAGTAGTAAGTAGTAGGTATGGAACAAGAAGCAAATATCCCAGCAATAGACAACAAAATACAGACTGGATCGGAAATATCCTTTTAGTCATATTGACAAACTAAATACCTTATCAGTTCCTAAAAAAGAAGAAACTCTGGCTGATGGTAACACTCAGGTACATATTTATATTTTTTATATATACACATAACAGTAAAATGCCTACTTTTCATTATTTAATGTGCTGTTATTTTAAACAGATCTATTATCTTCATAAAGTCCTGAGTTAAGGACTTTCAGGTCCTTTCAGGTAGCCAGAGATCATTATTATAAGTAGACAAACCCTTTCAATATAGCCTAAAGCCTGCCCCTTAAGGTGGAGAAGACCAGGTAAACAGCACCCTTTAAAGAATTCAGTCTCAATGAAATTTGTTTCCATGTATTCTTTATATACTCAACATATATTTATTCACATATTCATTAACTGTCAGTTTATGTTCTTACTAGAATAATTTTAACTGTTTTAAGCAGAAGAAATAGTATCAGTTTTCAACATGAACCGCTTTTACTATTTAGCATCAACAGTATTTCTAAAAACATTTCAAACGCTGCCCTCTGGTGATACTGTAGTTAAAGGAATACCATACCTTTTTGAATTTCTTGAAATTCTTTAATTGACCATAATCACTATTTACACAGGGTGTATTTCTGGAGGTAAAGTTACTAACCACCAGTGATCTAAATTCAGTCAGTAACACCTTCCTTGGAAACATATCACCATCACCCTGAAGCTCATCTTTGATCTTAAACGGGGTTACGACGGATACATAAGCAGAAAAGATAAGGAAAAGAAAATTACTTATTTGGGCATCTACAGAAAAAGTTCAAATACCTGAGGGAAAAAAAAAAACAGTAAAAAAGGTTTATTTCTGGCACCCAAACTCTGTATTTGGAAATCAAATCATAACTACTTCAAAACCAGAATATTACTTACTCAAATACTCTATACACTCATCTATGACAGAAGACTAAAACTATTTAGCATTTTTAATTTAGTAGCTTATTCCAATGAATATCATCTCAATACTTCATCTTCTATATATTTTCTCAGCAAGGAATCTGTTTTGTCTACTTCTTATCATAAAAACCATGAACTAACATTAGTGTAACAATCTGTTCTACAAGTTCTCATCTACTATATTTAAGCTTCCTTGGATTTTCAGTAACATTATTTTTCACATCTCCAAAAATCATTAGTTCTGGACACACTCATTACTCATTAACTGAAAGCCATTTTTTAATTGCAGATTGACAGTATTAAATCAGCCTGAAGATTCTTCCTGTTACTGGATGAGATTCTTTAGGTCATTTTCTATTAACCAACTAGTTACATACCAACATTGTCAGAGCAACTCAAGGCTGACCATCTAAGTTTTTTACTCTTTTACTGCCTATTCAAGTGGAAGTTGCTAACAGGACTAAAATAAAGACAGGGAGAGAAAGAAAAAAAGTGGAAAGTCAAAAGACAAGGTTCATCTATTAGTGACAGAATGTAATTAGGAACTCTAATAAATTAACAATGACTTAATACTTTTGTAAATGTGTTTTAGCATTTAGAAATAATTCACATCCATTCCTCTATCTGATATAAATGATCACCCTGTTGGAAAAGTGCTGACCTGATTATTTATAAAGACCTGAGGTCCATAAATGTGTAAGTGACTTGTTCAGGATCACACATTTATGCAGAAGGCAGGGAATTATACTCAGGCTTTTCTCTATCCTCTTTTTGCTATCTCATGATTATAATATGATCAAATTATGCCCAGAGTAAGCGTGACTATGAAATAGATCAAAATTACACAAAGGGAAATAATGAATCCTAAGAACGTAAACTAATAGTAATTGATCAGATGTTGCTCATTAAGTCAAATCTTTATAAAAATTAAAGAAAAATTTCCTTACAGATAGTTCTTCTTTAGTTGACCACAGTGTATCTTTCTTGAACTCACATTTCTTCCCAATTTCATTTTCTTGCTAAAGAAATAAAAATACTGTTCATAGAAATTATAAAATGGCAACTTTAAAAATATTCATGTTCTTGACCCAGTTATTTGATTTTCAAGTATCTTTCCTAGAAAAGCTGAGAATAGAAATCTACGTAAAAAAAGACACTGCAGTATGAATTACAAGAGCAAAGAGGACACAATCTAAGTTCATACCAGTTATTTTACAATATGAGATGTGACCATAGTATAAATGAGTAAAAATGGCTATGAAATTACATTAACAGTTGATTCTAAGTTTGCAGAATAAAAATTAATAAATAAAATACAATATTATCTATAGTTATCTACAGATGGTAGGTAGGATTATCAACAAATTGTTATGTTTTGATTTTCTATATTTCTACATAGCTATGTACTACTTTTATACTCTAAAATAGAAACATTTTTAAAGGATTCTATCTAAATTTACACTTATTATTTAATTTTAAATTGCCCTTAATCCAGGAAAAAGGAAATAGGGTTACTTTAATTACTCAAGATATATGTCTGCAATAAAATGCAAACTGCCTTGTAGTTTCCTTCACATCCAATATCCAGACCAGGTTCCAGACAAGAGCATATTATATAGATGGCTTTCTGACACTTTCAGTAAAAACTATAATCCCTTGGGTACACTAGGGGAGCATACGATTTTACATCAAATTTTCAATGATTCAATATTAAATTCAGAAAAACTGTAATAAAAAGTTGGAAAGAAAGGACAGAAAAACAAATGTACATACTTTGTTTTTGCTTAGGGACTAAAGAGAATTAATACTTTTATCAATAGTAAGGTTAAAAATTTATACTAAGCCTACCATGTGCCCTTTCACTACTTTCATATACATCACCCACTGCAAGTTAATCACAATCAGAACATTTTACACCCCCGCCCTTTCTCCCTTATACTGCCCCACTCCTTCAAACTTGCTCATCCTCTTGAGCAGTTATTTCCCATCCCAGAGAATCATGTTACCACCCACCCAAGCACTCAAACTCTAAACTTGGGAATTATCCTATACTCTTTTCTTCTCTCTCCATTTCTCATGCTGAGTCAATCACCAAGTCTTGGAGATTCTTTTTTTTTTTTTTTTTTTAATTTATTTATTTTGACCGCAAAAAGTACCAAGTTCGGGGGGCAGACTAGAGAAAAGAGGAGAGGAAAGCCCCAAAGTAGGCACTGCACCATCAGTGCAGAGCCCAACACGGGTCTCACACCCACAAACATGAGATCATGACCTGGGCCAAAATCAAGAGTTTGGATCGCATAGTCGCTGAGCCACCCAGGTCGCCTTAAGGAGATTCCTACCTACCAAGGCCTAAAAACTTATCCTCTCAGACAGCCTTTCATGTTAGCATGCCCAATGCCTGGAGTAACTGGATAAATGAATGTCATTCGAGTGATAAAGGAATTACCAAACAGAGCAGGTAGCTCATTTTTCGTCCCAGTTCGAAACCTAGCTAAGCAACCTTGTCAAGTTACTTAATACCTTACTGTCAATTTCCTAATCAGTTCAATGTGTATAGTACTGCTTCACTGCAGAATTGCTATAAACAGAATGATGATATCCAGTAATGTAAATTTGTGCGTATTACTACTAGGTTTTGGAAGATACTGTAGTTAAGAGAAGTGGAAACCTTAATTTAGAACAGGAGGGTAGAATGAGGTGAAGAAAAGATGCTCTGCATTCAGTGGGTGCTATTAAGAAAGAGAAATGGAAGCGGTTGGCCAGTTCCGACTAGCTAGGTCCGATCTACCATACCGTGGGTTCGAGCCCGTTGGCGATGGGGCTCTAAGGTTGGCTGATGTTGCGAGACCTGGGCCTGTTCTCGATTCTGTGTCTCCCTCTCTTGCCCTCTCCCGTTCATCAGCTGTCTCTCTCTGTCCCAAAATAAAAATAACGTTGAAAAAAAAATTAAAAAAAAAAAAAAAAAAAAAAGAGGAAATGTTAAGAAGGATGAGTCATGTTTGCATTTTGTGAGACTACGAAACTGTAAGGCCACGACACAGGCACAGCTGTCATATATATAAGGATAAACTTCTAGCAGGAATATCTAGTCAAAAGCTTTCTATTTCAGCTTATAGAAAGTATTATAAATGTGCTAGAACCTATATTTAAATCCCAAAATAGAAAAAGAGTGATTCTATCATCAACAGATTTTAGAAATCTATCTAAGGAATCCAATGTCAAAGAGAAGTTTCACATTTTTGCCTTAAAATTGCATTAAGTTTTTTTTTTTAATTTTTTTTTTTAACGTTTATTTATTTTTGAGACAGAGAGAGACAGAGCATGAACGGGGGAGGGGCAGAGAGGGAGGGAGAGACAGAACCAGAAACAGGCTCCAGGCTCCGAGCCATCAGCCCAGAGCCCGACGCGGGGCTCAAACTCACAGACCGCGAGATTGTGACCTGAGCTGAAGTCGGACGCTCAACCGACTGAGCCACCCAGGCACCCCACATTAAGTTTTTTAAATGAAAGGATTAAGAACTTTTTTCCTGATAATCACTTCCACAGCTAAAAAAAATAAGTGCAATTCCTTTATTCCATGAACATCTCATCTACAAGGACTTTCCAACAACAAATTCTTAAAACGATAAAAGTGAAAAAATTAAAAATAATCTCCCATTGTTTAAGGTTGATGAACTGCATCAATGTCAACTTCCTGGTTGTGATATTGTACTGTAATTATACAAGATGTTACAATTAGGGGAAACAGGATGAAAGGTATACTGGATCTCTCTATATAATTTCTTACAACTGCATGTGAATCAACAATTATCTCAAAATAAAAAGTTGTCAAAAATTATCTTACACTGAAAGCAAAATAACAGGCTCTTACTAAATATGTAGAGTGTTAGAATACAGTGACTGAACTTTTAATATACCCAAAAGTATATCACAATCAAATCACTATTCACCCTCCAGAAGATTTCTGTAATTTTATTTGGAATGTTATGAATTCTAAAGTAGTAAAGTAAGGACAGAGGAAATTATGCTACAGAACCACAGAACAAAATAAAGTAACTGTATGCCCTAGTATCAATATACAGCACGTAAAGCTCAGCTATTAAATGAAAGGTCTTTTCAGATACACAAAAGACTGTTTACTAAACCCCTTATCACTGGTGTATAACGATCACTTCCTGTCTCTCCCACTCTAGGATCAAATGCCCAACCCTGAGTGACCATGAACCCTGGGAGAATGTGCAGTCAATGCAGAGTATTTCAGAATATTAACAGCCATACAGGAGGGGCCAAAGAGTTCTGCTATTAAAACCATAACCATTTTCAGACAGAGCTGTAGCCACTGTGAACAGTGGACCAATCTGGGATAGAAGAAAAAAAAAAGGCTATTAAAAAAATGAAAGCATGTAATAGCACAAGACTAGAGAAAGAAAATAAGAACATACCAGAAAAAACTAAAAATGAGTACAGGAGGAAAGATACACTGCAAGGGAAATGCATTTCCATGGTGTAATGAAAATAATATAAATAGAGTCTAACTTTCTAAAGATTAAATGCTTATAGTATTAAGTAGTCTGAACACAAATTTTGGAATAGTCTGGAGCTAAAATAACATTGTAAATTCATAATACAAATAAACATACCTTTATAAAGAGATACAAATTTATTAAATGTAGTTAGGAAATCATCCCTTGGACTTCACCAATACCACATGAAACCAACGAGAAGTTCCACTCTAGTGGAAATTGCTAAGCAAGTAACTTACAGGATATATAAACCACTTGGTTCAAGTAACCTCTTCTGTAAAGTGACAGCTAATCTTTGATAATAAAGAACCTCCCTTTCTCTGAAGTTCTCAATTTGGCTAAACAGGATCTCACTGTCTATTCTTTCTTCCTTACTTATCTAATGCTAAATTTGTTAGGGACAGCAATGTGTCAACCTTAAAACATTTCCCATACTCTCTTGTAGACTAAAGGTGAGGGATAGGGAGTCATGCAGACCATTACTAAATTCTGGCTAATAACCAAAGTTATAAAGTGAGGTTTCTGAAAGAGCTCCTTAGAATGTGAGGGGGAACTTAAGTGGAGAGGCCTTTTTACCCTGTCCCCTTCTCCACCTTGTTCTTTCTCCCTGGAAAGTTGACATGATGGCTAGAGGTGCCACCTAATAGAGAGAAAAAGAGACACCTAAGAAATTAATACCATGGAACTTCCAAGCAGCTTTGGTTACCTACTTCTGGGCTTATTTTATTATTTTTAAAAATTTACATCCAAGTTAGTTAGCATATAGTGCAACAATGATTTCAGGAGTAGATTCCTTAATGTCCCTTACCCATTTAGCCCATCCCCCTTGCCACAACCTCTCCAGTAACCCTCGGTTTGTTCTTCATATTTAAGAATCTCTTATGTTTTGGGGCGCCTGGGTGGCTCAGTCGGTTGAGCGTCCGACTTCGGCTCAGGTCACGATCTCACGGTCCGTGAGTTCGAGCCCCGCGTCAGGCTCTGGGCTGATGGCTCAGAGCCTGGAGCCTGCTTCCGATTCTGTGTCTCCCTCTCTCTCTGACCCTCCCCCGTTCATGCTCTGTCTCTGTCTCAAAAATAAATAAACGTTTAAAAAAAAAAAAAAAAAAAAGAATCTCTTATGTTTTGTCCCCCTGGGCTTCTTTTATAGGAACAAAAGAACCCTACCTTATTTAAGCCACTGACTTTAGAATTTTTAAAGACAGCAAAAGGAATTCTGAACTAAAAATGAGGGAGCATTTTCTGGGAAGAAAACTGGATGTATCAGAATCTTTGGGGATTTTGGTCTGGGTATCCATATTTTTAAAAAAGCTCACCAACTGGGGTGCCTAAGTGGCTCAGTTGGTTAAGTGTCCGACTCTTGATTTTGGCTCAGGTCATGATCTCGTGGTTTGTGAGTTCCAGCCCTGGGTTGGGCTCTACTCTGCACTGATGGCATGGAGCCTGCTTGGGATTCTCTCACTTTCTCTCTCTCTCCCCCTGCCCCTCACCGCTCTCTCTGTCCCTCCCCTGCTCACATGCACCCTATTTCTCTAAAAATAAAGTTCAAAAAAAAAAAAAGCTCACCAGCTGATTCTGATGCATCTGATCCACAGAAAGGCATTTAAGATTCACTCAAAATAAACTAACAAATAATAAGGATTTTCTCTCATAGGAAGATGCCAATATATAGGCTAAACAGGACACCTACTTTGTTTTCTCAACAGTAGTTATAGATTTACAGTGCTTGATACACACTAGGTTAACAAATACTTATTAAATCATTATACCTTCCAACCACTTAATCTTTATCCTTTTACTCAGTCCTGTCCTTATGCAGTAGCCATTTACAGGAGGGGAGTGACCACAACCATGAACAAGAGTAGAGCTAATCAACCTAAATGAAAGATCAGAATATTATATTTTTACTTCATCAGGTCCATGCTCTCACCTAATGACCTAACTATTCTACAGAAGTGGGCAACGTAGGCATAAAATACAAAATAATCTGAAGACTTTTCTTAGATCAAAGTGGTAAGACAAGTTATTGACATTCATGAAAATAGGATATTAAAGACCAAAATGAAAATAAAAATTCCTACTGATGTTTTACCTGATTTATCTAACAATTTATTTCATAGTTTGTTTTACTAACTTTCTTCATTTTTGTATGTCTGCTTGCTCTATTAAGGCATCTCCTATACTTACCATCAGTGCCAAAGGTCTCATATAATAGTATAGTAATAATACAGCCTGGAACTATATTAATCATGAACAACAGTTTGTTGTCATTTATTATATACTGTCAAAGAAACACTATTTTTAATATTTACCTTATCCACCAACAAATCCTTACACTTAATACTGGGTGCTGAACACATGAACTTTTTCAAGGAAACAGTGGATGCTTCTACTGTCTTAAATTTCTTTTTAATCTTCTAAGTTTCTGTCTGTGATACTTCTCATTAAAAAAGGTTACTTACAGATATTCTGTTACTTTCTGATATTGCTTCATCATAATTAAAAGTGCCATTTGTTTCTATATCCAATCTTGGCCTTTTCCTAATATTGACATCTTCCTCTTGTTTTTGAACTTTCACTCCAATTTCTAACTCTGATTTTGTGTTGAGTAACTCTTCCAATATTTCATCTTCAATGGCTAAATCATCAATTTCTTTTCTTTTTTCTGATCTTAGTTTGTCTGCAGAAAGAGATTCATTGGCAGAACTTTTCACAGTGGATTTTAAATCTGTATCTGTAAGTAAGTTATCTGGTTTCTTTTCCAGAAGCTCACTCTGAAATAGAGACTGTTCCTTATTTTTCCATACTGAGGGTGGAGCAGGTTGTGTCTGTTCTAACAGAGAACAAGACATTTCTATTCTTGCTGATTTGGGTGAAAAAATTTCTTGATTTTCTTCATCTCTTTCCCTTAGATTTAAAAAAGGAGAGAAGAAAACAAAACAGAAAATGAACGCAGCTGATATCTGGCAATATTCACTTCCTCCCATTTAATGCATAATATTCTTGTTTTTATTAATATTACTGGGAATAAAAAAAAAGGACATCTTAAAAAAGTACATAATTCATATAGACTACTGCTTTCATAGGACTGCCAACCCAACGGCTAAAACAACAGGGAGAAGTCTATCTTCTCTGCTAAGGCAGCAGTAGCTAATAAATCAATGGAGAGGAAAAGGTAGGCAGATATAAAAATACAGAGGATTTGTTGCCGGGAAACAACAGCTTACTTTATAATGTAGGGAACTTGCAGGCAGGGAAAAATTACCTTGGAAATAAAACCTGATGGGTTAATGAGAGCTAATTCAAGGTAATAAGTCAGAGTAGCTCTATCCACAATACAGCACAGACTATACACTGCAACTAATATGTGAATACATGGGGCGCCTGGGTGGCTCAGTTGGTCAAGCGTCCGACTTCAGCTCAGGTCATGATCTCACAGTTCATGGGTCGAGCCCTGCATTGAACTCTGTGCTGACAGCTTGGATCCTGAAGCCTGCTTTGAATTCTGTGTCTCCCTCTCTCTGCCCCTCCCCAACTTAGTGCTGTCTCTTTCTCTCTCAAAAATAAACATTAAATTTTTTTTTAAAAAGTGACTATAAGAGTTTTCTATACAATACTGTTTAAGTACTGAATAGTTTATTCATTTATATACTGTACTTCTAACATCCACAGGGAACATAAAAATGTGCATCTCTGCTTCCCAACAGTTTACTGAATTCATGCTAATTTGGAATAATCAAGGTGATATTTTAATAACACAAATATAGTATCAGGGTACTGGACAGATTTATCAAGAGGTTTCTGCAATAATTTAGGTACAGTTTAAATCAGAGAGCTGGCAATACAAACAGATGAAAAGGGAGGAATTTAGGAAACAATGAAAATAAGAGTTACAATACTGTTTTGGGGGGGTAGAATAGAGAGTCAAAGATTTTGATAAAGTGAACTACTAATAGAAAAAACACATAATCGATGACAGAGGAGAAAAGATTTAGGTGAATTATTTGGGAAAACAGCAGAAAATTCCTGTGGGAAAGCAGAAGTGAGGTTTAAAGGTTAAGTTAAGGCCAAATATATTGATCATCTGTAATAAAGTCATGAAACTCTGAAGGTACCACATACAACACATAAAAAGCAGTAGTATGAAAAAAGAAAGAAGTCCTCAAAGGGGGCAGAGAAGCAAAACAACCAGAAGCTACTACTACTTCCGAGAAGACACTGTAAGGAGAATAAAGATTCAAGAGTTGAGTATACCAAAGGCCACTAGAGCTAGCAACTGTGTCAATGGTTACTTTTCAAGGACATCATGTCAAGATGAAATATTGCTGGTTAAGAATTATTTCATACAGCAATGGGAGCAGTAACAGTAATATCTTTTTTTAAGAAGTTTAATAGTGATTGTGAAAGACAAAAGGCATTTGCTAGAGGAAAGAACCAAGTCAAGGGAAGGTTTCAAAAAATAAAAGGGACAGACAGCTTTTGAAAAGAGAAGGACCTAGAATAATTAAAGGCACTGGAAACTGAGAAACTACCTGAAAGCATGGTCTTAGAGGAGGTAAGAGAAGTTGAAAGAATGAGGTGTGGGAAAGCTCTTCTTCAAAAGAAGCATGGTAAAATGAAATATCAGGTAAGCTAAGCTTTCTAGGAAAAAATAATCTATCTACAATGACCTTAGTGAAGGAGGAGATTTGGACATTTCTGAAAGGGCATGAGGTCAAAGAGTCAGTTTTCCACAGAAGCATTTTCAAGCAGAACACAGACTAAATGCCATTCTATAATCATATAACAGATATTAATATTTTTCAGAGACACAGAGGCATTATTTTAAAATATACCGTTTTTTGGTAGATGGCTGAAAGTAGTTTTTGATGGAGTTGGTCTGCTGCTGAGAAGCCCGATCTCTACTTTTATTTACACCTGAGAATTTATTTGGTGAAAGCTGAGAGGTTGGGATTTTCATCCTAACCAGAGTATTTGATACTGTATTATTATCATTAGAGCTTATTTTGTGGGGTTCCTTTGCAGCGGATATTTCTTGTGAAGACATTCTGAATTTCTGTTCCACTCTGGAGATTTTGATTTCTTTAGGTCTTTCACTCAAATCCATGCTGTAGCAAAAGAAAAGAATGCAAGGTAAACAAGTGGATTTACAGCAATTTTTATCTAGAAACAAAGTCCTCTAAATAGTACTATTGATACAGCTTTAGAACATAATTATCTTTAGACAATAATTAAATGAATATATTTCACTACCTCAAGAAAGTCACTCCTTTTTCATCAAAGCTCCCTAAAGACAAATGATAACTTTCTCTTCTTCATTCCTTACAGCACACAATGTCCAGCATACTCTATTATAAAAAACTACCATACACACATGAGTATCACCCTAGTATTCTATTAAAAATTAAACTAGGTGATAACCTAGGTAATTATTACTTTAAAATTTCAGAATTATTTTCATGTAAAAAAATTAATTAAAAAAAGGAAAATCAGAAAAAGAACAATCTTCTACAATTCCAGCATCATCTATAAGGAGATATTTAGATCCCCTTTAGAACTAAATTAGATAAATTTAGATTCACATGAACTGATATGGCTATATTCTACCCAGATGGCAAGAATACAGATGAACTAATAATGGTTATATTCCAGCCAGATGGTAGTCCCTAGAACAGAACTCTATTCTCTACCAGAAAAATATCAAAAACACACACATGGTTCTACAATGTATGGTTAAACATATACTGCCTTTAATACTCTTATTTCACACACACACACAAATATTCTTATTTCACAAAAAACTAAAGTGGTCATACAGATGACTTTCAAAACATTAATAGTTTCTCTTTAAAAAGTTACATCTAGGCTGGGGCACCTGGGTGGCTCAGTCGGTTAAGTGTCCGACTTCGGCTCAGGTTACGATCTCACGGTTCATGGGTTCAAGCCCTGCATTGGGCTCTGTCCTGACAGCCTGGAGTCTACTTCGGATTCTGTCCCTCTCTCTCTCTGCTCCTCCCCTGCTCATGCTCTGTCTCTGTCTCTCAAGAATGAATAAACGTTTAAAAAAAAAAAAAAAAGCAAGTTACATATGGGGCACCTGGGTGGCTCAGTCGGTTAAGCATCCAACTTCGGCCCAGGTCATGACCTCATGGTTCATGGGTTCGAGCCCCATGTGGGGCTCTGTGCTGACAGCTCAGAGCCTGGAGCCAATTTCAGATTCTGTGTCTCCCTCTCTGCCCCTCCCATGCTTGCGCTCTCTCTCTCAAAACTAAACAAACATTAAAAAAAATTTCTAAAGTTATATCTGACCTCAATATAACAAAAGGATATATTAAAATTTTAAATATGATCCAATATAGTGATATCACAAATATCTTTCAATATGAATAGTTTATTATGGATTATTTAAAATATACTATCTTAAATGAAAAATACCGAAGAATATATGTGAGTTGCCCTTGCTCAAAAAAAACCCCAAAGAACAAAAAAGTCCTCTTCAAATAGAGAACTACCAGAAAACTATCTTCACAAACAAATATTAATTGTTTAGATAGCCAGGTAGAAACACAGAAAGGATCTCCAAGGGGCGGCTGGGTGGCTCAGTCGGTTAAGTGTCCGACTTCAGCCTAGGTCATGATTTTGCTGTTCCCGAGTTCGAGCCCCACATCGGGCTCTGTGCTGACAGCTCAGAGCCTGGAGCCTGTTTCAGATTCTGCATCTCCTTCTCTCTCTCTGCCCCTTCCCCACTCACACTCTGTCTCTCTCAAAAACAAACATAAAAAAAAAAAAAAAGTATCTCCAAAGTTGTAATATTCAGATAAAGGCAACATTATACAGTACACATTTATTTCAAAGTTATTTCACCAGTCACAAAAAAAGTACATAATTCTTTTTGGTCTTCCATGTGCATTTCTAAGAAACAACAACAAAAAAACTTTGTAAGACAGTGGTTAGCAATCTATGGCTTACGGACCAAATCTGGCCTCCCACTTATTTTTGTAAATTAAATTTTATTGGAACACAACCACACACATTCATTTACATGTTGTCCAAGGCTGTTTTCATGCTACAATGGCAAAGCTAAATAGATGTGACAGAGATCAATGACCCACAAAGCCAAAAATATTTACTCTCTGGTCCTTTATAGAAAGTTCACCAATCTTGCCCTAAAACATGACATCCCATTCTCCCATACTTTATCTCCTAAGAACTAATCTGAAAATGGCACTGACTTTACTTCATAAATATACTATTAACTCACTGATAGAATTAAGTGTCTGTTAACAATGAAGCTTTACCATGTATCTGCTTGCTCTGATTCCGTATCAGCTACATATGTTGTAGTGTTCACTGGGGCACTTAGCATTAGTTTTTCATTGACAGACAAGCCTTGGGAAAAGCTTGGCCCTGGAGTCATCTTCAATGCTGTAAATCACACAAGCAAAAGGAAGAATCATAACTGCTAGACACAAGATGAACATTTTGTCACTTAAAATGGTTACACTGTTCCATGCCAAGGAAAGTAAGTTGGTAACACAGAACACATATCTTCAGTCAGTGGAGCCAACAAATACTTAACGAAATAGCCTAAAAGCAGCTTGTTGGCATTTGTAATGGGCTTATCTGCATCAAATCATTTTAAAGCTACATCAAATCTTTCATGAAGTATTATAATCTTAAATAAAAATAAAACCAACAAATTATAATTCAAATTATGCTTTAAGTCAGTAGGCCAAAAAATTGCATTTCTTCCCCACAGAAAGAATATCGACCCTACTTGGTCTACACAAATCAAAATTAAAGTGAGTTTCACTTTCTGAAGGAATACTATCTGAAAAAAAAGACATAAATAGTTTTAGGCACAAATTTTGTGGTCACTCCAGAAAACCATAATGATTACTTCATCTTTTCATTAATTAGAACAACAACTTAATTCAAGTGCTACTCTTCCAGCATACTTTTCTGAACCTCCCACACTGAATTAGGTATCCTTCATTTCAGCTCCCATACCACCCTTTACAACACACTGTTAACTTTTTGCACACTTACCATCAGCTACACGACCTGCATTAAATTATTTAACCTCTCTATGCCTTAGTTTCCTCATTCATTGAATCTGGATCATTTTGTTTTGAGGCACAATGAATTGATACATGGAGAGCACTTAAAAAAATGCATGGATTCCATTGTGTATATAAACCACAATTTCTTTATCCATTCATCAGTTGATGGACATTTAGGCTCTTTCCATAATTTGGCTATTGTTGAGAGTGCTGCTATGAACATTGGGGTACAAGTGCCCCTATGCATCAGTACTCCTGTGTCCCTTGGATAAATTCCTAGCAGTGCTATTGCTGGGTCATAGGGTAGGTCTATTTTTAATTTTCTGAGGAACCTCCACACTGCTTTCCAGAGCGGCTGCACCAATTTGCATTCCCACCAACAGTGCAAGAGGGTTCCCGTTTCTCCGGAACTGGAGAGTGTGA